CTTTCCTGGGACTGCGATCCCTCTTCCTCTTGTCTCCTTCTGCTAGCGTTGAGTCCCCCTTCAAGTCGAGGGCCTCTTCGCCGTTGATATATTTTTTAGCTTTCGTCAACACCTCGCCCATAGTGGCCTGAGGGTTCTTCGCTATCGAAAAGAGAAGGTCCTTAGACTAAATCCCAAGCCCAAACATGAAGGTGGCCAGTGCAAATTTGTCATCCACACTCTCCACCTTGACGCATTCCTTATTGAAGTGTTGCACGTAACTTCGGAGGACTCGGTGGATCCCTGTTTGACACTCAATAGATGGTAAGACGACTTCCTATACGTCTTTGCTCCTATAAAGTGGGATACGAACTGTATGGATAACTTCCTAAAGAAGGAGATCGAACCAGGTTGTAGCTTGTTAAACCAAGCTATTGTCGATCCCTTGAGGGTGATGGCGAAAGCCCAACAACGGATTGGATTTAGATAACCCTGAAGCTCCATCTGATTTTTATAGGAGTATAGGAGTTCAGGTGGTCGACTGGATCCTTGGTTCCATCGAACGCCTCTATCGATGGCATCTAGAACTTCTGGGGGAGGGGAAATGGAAGACCTCGGGAGCAAATGACAACTCAGTTTGCTAGACCAGAGCGTCCATGGTATCATGGATCACCGTTTCCTTCATGTTGCCCACTTCTCGCTAGAGCTTGGGAATTTTTTGTTCCAGTAAAGGATCCATAGCATCTAGAAAAAGGGGGTGGGCTCTGTCTTCTCAGTACGTGGCTCTGGCCCTGCTGTGGGCCTTGTCCTTGTCGTGCTCTTCTGGGCATCTTCTCCGGTGGTTGTCCCCAGAATGGCTATGCTCGTGGAGTTCCGTTATTCCATTAGGGGGAACTTGGTGCTCCTGAGGAGGGGCGTTGTGTTCAGCCTGGGACGGAGGAGGTTCCGGACGTGCAGGCGAGAACTAGGGGAACTATTGTGTTTGTATCCATTCCATCAGCTCCTGGTTCTGCTTCATTAGTTGCATCGTGGTTCTGCGGTAAACTTCTAGCTTTTTAAGTAGAAGGAGGTTCACTGCTGGAGGGTGACCCTCGACGTTCGCTTTCAGGCGCCAAACAGTTTTTCGACAAGTTTTGGTGAACTTGGGGGTTAACGTGAGATCTACTCATATTCCAAGTCGAAACCATCGACAAAAATTCAGAGAAAAACGATGAAATTCGCTTCCTACAGACGACGCCAACTGATGGTGCTCATAATTTACAGCCCAAGCCTAATAGGTTATGTGGTGAAGTTCTAAATGGATTAGGTGGGTTGCAGATTGATTGCTAATGAACAATAAAACGAGAAATATAAGTGGTTCACCTTAGCCGATAGACTAAGGCTACGTCCACTACTAAGAGAGTCTCTTGCTTCTTTTATTCATTTATTACTTGGTCAAAGACACACACACAACGATTGGGGACACGGGGTCCCTTACAAAGGGTGAGTATTTACCTTTATTCATTGGTTTTTCTGGGTTTGCAAATGCTTATGGATGAAGGACGAAAGTCTTCGCTCCTCGCTGGGTTATGGTTTTCTATTTATACTAGGATCTCCCTTTGGGGTTTTCGGTTATTCTCCTCTTAGTGTTTGATCCTGTGAGTCTTTATCTCTACACTTTGTTGCTCTCTTTGTCACTGTTGTCCCTGTTCATCCGGCGCCTCTATTGCCACGATCTTTGGTAACTGGGTGCTCCACCTTTTCTGTTCTGAGACTATCCTAAGTGTCAGGAATGGTCCCAAACCTTTAGGATGAGTGGTCCCCATGGGAGACCCAAAAAATGACCTTTGGACGGGGCTTTCAATCTTTGGGCTGTTTATTGGTTGGACTGGGCCCGGATTGCTAAGTTATAAACCTTCTGTCGATGTTGGGTCCTTTCTTTCTGCTCTTGGCCTTCTAGGCTCGTTAGGCTTCTGGGCCATGGAGGCCTACGCCGTAAATTTTGTCCATATCAATAGTAACCGACAAATATCAATACATTAGCTTTGAGTTTTGAATTATTTCATAGTTAAAGTAATGACCCTAAAAAAATATTTGTAATAAATTAATAATCCAACGACTTTATTATCTAATACAAGTAAACTGTGATTTTATTTAAAACATGGAAAAAAATACGAAATAATTTATCCACAAAAAAACTAAAAAATAAAAAAAGACAATAAAAAAAGGTAATAAACCAAATGAAAAAGAAAAAGATAAGAACAATCACGTGAGCACACTTAGAACATTTGAGATTTGTCACTTAATTACTTAGACCTCTTGACATTTGGAATATTACACACAGACTCTTTGAGATTTTTACACGTGTAACACTTAGATCCCTGTAATCAATGTCCCATTAGAATATCTGTTAGTAGATTATACTCAAACCTTCTGATGTTTATATACGTGTAATACTTAGACCAATAAAGCTTAAAATATTATATTTAAACCAAAATAATCCAATCAAAATAGAATATCAACTATTTTAAATTTTATAACAAAAATTTATGTTTAATTATATCATTTATTAAAATAAAATTAAAAAACAAAAATTTAATTTTTTATAAAAAATCATAATTAGTATACAATTATACTATCTATTAAATGACCAAACTACTCTCAAGTTTAAAATGTTATATTTAAATAAAAAATAATCCAATCAAAATATAATATCAAATATTTTAAATTTTATAACAAAATTTCATGTTTTCTTATATCATTTATTAAAATAAAATCAAAAATAAATTTAAAAAGAAATTATAATTAGTATACAATTATACTATCTATTAAATGACCAAACTACTTCAATTAAAAATATAAGATATTGTGTTCATTACAATTTGATCATTTATTTATTTTTTTAGTTTATTCAAATAAATAGTATAATTGTATACTAATTATTATTTTTGAATAAAAAATTAAATTTTTATTTTAATTTTATATCAATAAATTGCATAATATAACAAGAATTTTGGTTTTAAAATTTTAAATCTATATAATAAAACACATATGAGTTTAAAATTTTTATCTCACACATATTTTTTCCTCTAAAATCATCCATCACCCAATTCTATTATATGTTTAATCATTTAACATTTGATTAATTTGTAATTTAACATAATTATTGTTTTATATATTGTCCATACACGATAATGTATGCGCGTTGAAATTTTTTTGTCAGGTTATACATTTTGAAAAAAATTTAATGTTATTTTAAAAAAAATAATAGATAAAAATTAATTTTAAATGATGTAATCAAATAAACAAAGAAATAAAAAAAAATTTTATTTAGTATAATGAGATTAATTTTGTAAACGATCAAATTTTATATTTTATAAGGCACAAGTTATAACTAGTATTTGATATTCTATATTTGATTGAAGTATTTTTTGTCTAAATATAGCATTTTAAATTTGAATGGTCTAAATATATTTATTAAACGACCAAATTATCCTAATTAAACATAAAAGATATTGTGTCCCTTACAGTTTGACCATTTGTTTATTTATTTAACTTTATTCTAATAGATAGTATAATTGTATACTAATTATTTATATATTTTTTAAAAATTATATATTTTTTGATTTTATATCAATAAATGACATAATAAAACATGAATTTTGGTTATAAAATTTAAAATATTTGATATTCTATATTGGATAAAAATATTTTTTATATAAGTATAATATTTTAAAGTTGAGAAATTTAAATATTACACATATAAATTTTAGGGGGTATAAATATAATTTATTAAAGGATATATTTTAACAGACATTGACGACAGAAGTCTAAGAGCAATTCCAAAGAGGAGTGGCAATCCTATAACTGTTAAAATGTCACCCTAAATTTAAAAATTTTCACTCCAATGAGGTGACATCAAGGGTTGAAAAATTGCAACAATGCTCTTGGGCGACAATTTTTCAAACTTTGGAGAGAGAAAGGGATAGGTTGTATAAAAAATTTACGTGTTTGTTTAGCAGGATTATAACAGAAAGGGACAGAGGTTACAACAAAAGTTAAGTTTAATTATATTTTTTAATAAAAAATATTAAAATATTACAATGACACTCCATTTTGACACATGCTATTGGAGCATATTTATAATTTAGGGATGCAAAAACACTGTTCAAGATTACAAATAGGCGATTAGGTATCCTAAAATGGCAACTCCATTTGGAGTGTCAAATCACCTATTTATAAACTTGAACAGTGTTTTGACATTCATGAATTATAAATCTACTTAATGACAGGTTTTAAAATAAAGTGTTATTTAATATTTTAATATTTTTTATTACTGTCAAAATATTTTAATATATTTTAACGAGTATAGTTTATTAAAAAATATAATTAAACCCATTTGCAACATCTCAATTTCTTTTTTATTGTTGCCAAAATTGTCACTCCAAGAACATTGGTGCCATTTTCCAACCCTTGATACCAGTAAAAAATTTTGAATTTGAGGTGACATTTTGATAGTTATGAGGTTGCCACTCCTGATACCACTCCTCCTTAGAATTACTCTAAGTGTTACATGCGGGTGCGAAAATTTATTTGTAATATTTTAAATATTAAGATTTTAAATAATTAAATAACAAACTTTAAAGGGTTCGAGTATAATTCTCTAATAATGTACACCAGGTTTACTTCTCCATCTTATTTCTTCCTCTCACAGCAAAAAAACAAAAAAATCTTATTTTTTCCTCTGACAGCACCACAGATCCAAGACTCCACGTTTGCTCTCTCCCTCAAATTTTCAGTCCCTCTCTCTCTCTCTCTCTCTCTCTCTCTCGATCTGTTGGGCTTGAAGGGGATTCCCTCTCTCTGTCACAGATCCATCTTTATTACATTATACAATCCCTAAATTTTCTTCACATTGAAACCAGAAATCAAACCCTAAACCCCAAAGCTGTAGAGAATTCAAGACATATAGGCTCGATTTCAAACACTAGCGTTCAAATTCGAAGCTGGAGCAATTGAAAACAATCGGTAGGGAGCTCGCAATGAGCTCCCAAGGCGGGTTCGGGCAGTCTAAAGAATTCCTAGACCTCGTAAAATCCATCGGCGAGGCTCGATCCAAAGCCGAAGAGGACCGGATTGTCCTCCGCGAGGTGGAAACCCTAAAACGCCGAATCGCCGAGCCTGAGATCCCCAAAAGAAAGCTCAAAGAGTACATACTTCGCCTGGTTTATGTCGAAATGCTCGGCCATGACGCCTCTTTTGGGTACATACACGCCGTGAAGATGACCCACGACGAGAGTTTACTCCTAAAAAGAACTGGGTACTTGGCGGTGACACTGTTCTTGAACGAGGACCATGATTTGATTATATTGATTGTGAATACGATTCAGAAGGATTTGAAATCGGATAATTATTTGGTGGTTTGTGCGGCCTTGAACGCTGTGTGTAAGTTGATCAATGAGGAGACTATTCCTGCGGTCTTGCCTCAGGTGGTTGAGCTCTTGGGGCACCCAAAAGAGGCCGTGAGGAAGAAGGCGGTAATGGCACTTCATCGGTTTTATCAGCGGTCATCTTCTTCGGTTACCCATCTTATCTCCAATTTCCGAAAAGTATGTCCTTTATACATATTTTGTGTGTGTGTATGGGGTACTTTTTCGTGATGTTCGTGATATTGTTGTATTAGCATTGTTCTATGAATTTCGACTGCATAAGTTCCCATGAAACAAAAGTTTTAGCTTAGTTATACCGTTTAATTATGTACTGCCCATAACATGGAAATTTAACTGCCATATTGGGTGTCTTGTTACTTATTTTGTGTGTATGTTCTAGTAGTAAAGAAGCGATCATGAGAAAATGATGGGAACAAAAATTGATTGTTAATGCTAATTATGATAACCTTCTAAAGTTATCGTCCCATTTTTTAGTGGCTTCAATGTATGCCTGTGATTTAGCACTATAAATTCCATTGCAGACACGGTGGAGCAATTTAATTGCATTGGATGTCAAGACTTGCATGCATGTACCTGCTGAAGTTGAATATATAAAGGGTATCTCAGTATAAGCCAATCCAAACAGGATGCTAATGTTTTTCTCTCTAATCTGTCTGTCGATTGCATATCTCAAAGATTTTTTTTTAACACAAAGTTTAGTTGACTTATTTTTATTCTTGATATGTTTTAAGAATATTATGCTGCTATATATTACCAAAACAGAATTCAGTGGTTGATTGTTTTTGAGACTGATTTAGCTTTTATATTTTTTAAATGCTTTTTCATTTTTGCAGAAGCTTTGTGACAATGATCCAGGGGTTATGGGTGCGACACTTTGTCCTCTCTTTGATCTAATCACAATTGATGTAAATTCCTATAAGGATTTAGTCGTTAGCTTTGTAAACATTCTTAAGCAAGTAGCTGAACGCAGATTACCGAAGAGTTATGATTACCATCAGATGCCTGCTCCATTCATTCAGGTATGCCACATTACATTTCCTGTAGCTTAAATTCTATATACTGTCAGAACAATATTGGGTAGTTAAGAGTATTTCACGCATGAGAGAATTAAGGAAATTGTCACATTAGCTTCTGAAATACTGCCGTTATAGATGCCTAGATACAAATGGTATTGCAACATGATTGACTTGATGAAAATTGTTTGATTAATCTCTAGAATCCACCCGAGTTTGTAATTCTTTTGGTGTGTCTGCTGTGACATCGGCAATTTTGGTTTCTCTCTAGGTTCATACTCAAATTTGTTTCATAAGATGGCTGCTCGAATTCCTATCTATAGATGGATTTGCTCCATCATACAGGTTAATAGTGTTGGGAACATGCATACATTATTATGTTCTAAGGTTCCATATTTTTGGATTTCTCGAGATCGGTATTTAGCAAATGATTTTGTTTCCTTTTCGTTTTTTAGTTTGTTCCCATTTCCTTTTTGGTAAATTTGTGTCTTTAGAAATAAAAGCATAAAATATTGAATACAGGCCTAATTAACTTAATTTCAACATCATTTCACAAACCAAGGGGATCCCCAACAATCAAAACTAATGGGTAATCAAGAAAAACAACTGTCTAGAAGGTGTCCTTAGAGCCTACTCCAGACTAGGTTTGCATTGTTTTAACTGTGGTAAAGGGCAAAAGTAACAAAGGCTGCCACTCACCCAATGGACATCGCACAACACCGAGAAAGATGACCATGTACCATTGGCATAAGCAACTAGTTAATGACTGCCAATCAAACCAAGGAGAGGATTCTGAAAAACAACTCCAAGGAAAGAGTAAAAGCAATTAGGAATATGTGAATTTCGCATTTCACATGCTCTTGCGTGGTTGAACTTTCATGGGGATCAACGGTTTATAATTATAGGTGCCTTATGGAACTTTAGCAATGGATTGTTACATTGCCCTTCATATTACACTCTTGTTCCTTAACATGGGAAAAATTGCCCTGTTTCCTTGAATTGTCCCCAGTTTTAACGGAAGAGAAGACTTCCTAAGTTCATTCAAACAATCGTTTATTTGGAAAATGGAAAGATTTTGAATGTTGAGTAGGGGAGAGAAAGTAATCATATAAAATAAAATTTACACTAAGATAACAGTCTACTCATACTCTAGCTACGGTAATGAAATAAGGTGGTTGGTTTACTTGCTTGTTAGAGGACATGTATTTTATTACTTGCTGTTGTTAGGGAGAAGGGGATGCTTGTATATGGATGGACCTAAGATCTTAGGGTGAAGAGGTCGGACTAGACAAACAACCAACCATTGACCTTCTATAAACTGGAGTATGGAATTGCGACTTTGTATAGTCTGCTCTGCTCTCATGCTACAAGATCTCTAACACTAGCTAGCGCTAACATATCTGTAGCCTATTTGTCCTCTTCGCTACCTATCAATCGTAAGCTAGCCGCTTAGCTTTCTAACATAGCAAGTAGCTACAACATCTCTTCCTTCTTTGAGCGAACCGCTATTTCAAACAATTTTGGGGTTTTAGCTTATTTGGTAGCATCATTACTAGGTTTTTTTGGCCCTTTTTTTTTACTGCAAAGTGAAAGCACTCCACTAAAAAACCCTAGGGGATGCAGAAAGAAGAGATACTAAGCCAAACTCAGCAGAATACTTGTAGCTCCTAAGAAAGCCATAATTGAAGAAGAGGAGGTCTTTTGCTGAAGTCTACAGGAACGATCTTTGACTGCTGGGTATGATATTGGCTATTGCAAGTGCCGTTGCTATTGAGAGTAGCTGAGTAGGGGAACAATATTATAAGAAAAGGGGTGAGACAACTGTTTAATTTTAATTGTTTCTTTAAATGTAGTTGGACTTTCAACATTTGGATCATATTGCAAAATGGGTGCGGGACCATTTTGTGGCTTGGTTTTAATATCTGCTGAAGTAGTAAAATTGATATAGTTAACTTGATATGTTGACTATTTGAATGTCAGTTTCATCTCACATGCATAGTTGTGTCCTTACTATTCTTTTTACGTTTTTTTTGGAGCTAACTACTAAGTATATGAAGATGTTATGGCTAGTACAATGTATCCATCTTGAATCAAAACTTAGATCCTTTAATTGTGTTGCTTATTTACTTTTATTTTTTGAAGCAGCTTCATTAGCTAGTATTCCTTTTTATGCAGATCAAGTTGCTGAAAATTCTGTCTGTACTGGGCAATGGTGACAAGCAGGCTAGTGAACAGATGTATACTGTTTTGGGTGACAGTATGAGAAAATGTGATTCAACAAGTAATATAGGAAATGCTGTTCTTTATGAGTGCATATGTTGTGTTTCCTCTTTACATCCCAATCCTAAGTTAATAGAATCTGCGGCTGATGCAATTTCCAAATTTTTGAAGGTTTGTGTTCTGGAGCTTATGCATATATCCTGGTTTATGTATTTTTGAACTCATATTTATATGTTCTTATTTGGTGGGCAGAGTGATAGTCATAATCTAAAATATATGGGCATTGATGCTCTTGGTCGATTGATAAAGATAAGTCCAGAAATTGCTGAAAAACATCAACTGGCTGTTATCGATTGCTTAGAGGTAAGAGACATTATTTTTCTGAAATTAATGTCAACTGACTAATAGTTGAGCTATTGGAGGTGTTCACTGGTCGATGTTCTTAATGATTTCCCAACCGTGACTGTGTACATTACATTTTGACTTCAATGTGTTATGACCTGTATTTGTTTAAAGTCTGAGATGGTTCATGATACAGGACCCAGATGATACGCTAAAGCGAAAAACCTTTGAACTGCTTTATAAAATGACGAAGTCATCCAATGTGGAAGTGATTGTGGACCGTATGATTGACTACATGATAAGCATCAATGATAATCATTACAAAACTGAAATAGCATCCAGATGTGTGGAACTTGGGGAGCAATTTGCGCCAAGCAACCAGTGGTTTATTCAGGTTATTTAATGGTTGGCTGCCATTTACACTTCAGATTGTTTGCCCATAACTTTGTATGTATGCTTGCTGTAACTTTTCATGATCAGCTCTCCTGACTTGTTGGCCTTACAGACCATGAATAAAGTATTCGAGCATGCAGGAGATTTAGTGAATATTAAGGTGGCACATAACTTGATGCGGTTGATTGCCGAGGGATTTGGAGAGGATGATGATACTGCAGATAGTCAGCTGAGATCATCTGCTGTATGTTTCTTGATGAATTTTACTTGGTTTTAGTTATATATTTTTGCCAATTTCAGTGAAATTCTTTTTTTTCCCCCACTAGAACATTAGTTGAAATTTTAAAGTTTTAGATTTTAGGGTTTAGAGTTGGGAAGAGGAAAGAGAAGAAGGAGAAGAGAAATGATCAAAATTAGGGTGAAGGAGAATGAGAGTTAATTACTCTCTCCTCTCATCACCCATATTTATATTAATTAATAATAAGCTACAAATTACAATAATGCCCTTAATAACCTGACATTTTACACTCCCGCTCGAGTTGGAGGATAGATATTTTTCATACCCCACTTGCATACATCTGAATGAAAAATTCTACTACTAAGTCATTTAGTAAACACATCATTTAATTGTTCCTTGGATTCCACAAAGGGCATACAAACCAACCCAACATTCAACTTCTCTTTAATGAAATGTCTGTCAATCTCAATATACTTTGTTCTATCTTGCTGAATTGGATTATGAGCAATATTTATGACAGCCTTATTATCACCATATAGGCTCATAGGTACACTAGTAGAGAAGCCCAAGTTTTCCATTAAGGTTATAAGCTCACAATTACTATGAGCCATAGTCTTGTATTCTGCCTCCATGCTGGATCTAGCCACTACTGCTTGCATTTTGCTCCTCCAAGTAACTAGATTTCTTCCTACAAGGGTATAATAACCTACAGTGGGCCTCCTATCATCAATAAAGCTTGTCCATTACTTCCCTGTTTCTTTTGATCATTATGTTTTTGGCATAATAATTCCAGTGTTTTGTTTGATCAAAAAACAAAATTATGACTCTTTTTCGACACCAACTTTGCTATTCTATATTTAGTTTCATCTTTTCAGGCCAATCAGACCACCTTAGTTTTGGGAATCAGTATTTGATCCTCTTCTCCTTATTAGTTTGTTGGCACTGTTTTCTTTGTAGTATCGTGTTCCACTTCCTAATATCAAAATTAGCAGTTTATTTCCTCTCTCCCTCTTGCAATAGCTGAAGTATTAGAATTGAACACTTTGGCTTTTTTAAAATTTTCTTCATTTAATCTTTAAGCTAACAACTGGAATCTTTTCTTTCTCCCCCTGGGCGTGCCTTCCGACGGTCGGTTTTATTTTGCCTATCAGTGACATTTTTGTAGTTCATGATTGATACAATTGTCGTTTTTACCTTGTCTTCTCTCTGTCTAACTACATCAACAGGCTGCGGCAAATCGTTTTCTGATTCTTATTTCCTGCTGTTTTAATGTAAATTTTTTCCCTGGGTGCAGGTGGAGTCATATTTGCGTATTATTGGAGAGCCAAAACTTCCATCTGCATTTCTTCAAGTAAGTTCTGTCTTATGTGGGTTTTTAGTTTTCCTTAATAGTTTCCCTACATTATACAGTACCATGGGCACACCTATTGTATTAGTTATCTTATTTGTTAGTTTTGAGTTGCAGGTCATTTGTTGGGTCTTGGGTGAATACGGAACTGCAGATGGAAGGTACTCCCCCTCGTATATCACTGGGAAGCTGTGTGATGTGGCAGAGGCACATTCAAGTGATGACATGGTCAAGGTATCCATGAATACTTTCTGTGCCTGACCATAGGGAAGAAGCATTGGCATAGTAAAAGTCACTCAGTGATCCTTTGGTGCTTCTAGAGTTTATTGGTATTTGCTAATGTTGCATGGGTTTCCCATATATTTAAGTTTCTTTAAAAAAGAATTGGCTTGTATGAGTAATAAAAAAGCTGAATCACTTTTACTAGATGGCAATATTTAATTTGTTCCTAAGAATAGTGTGGGAACTGAGAAAGGGAAACTATCCAACTTGGTTATCTTCATATGCACATGTTTGCAATGGTGTTATGATGGTTTGTACCTGAAGGTTTTTGTAGAATCTTATATCTCAGAGATTTGATATGACTGTTACATTGAAACATCTTCGTCCATATTTGAACTCTCTTTTTTGATGATTTAGTCAGCTGAAGTGCCTATTAAGGGGAAAGTTCTTGCACGGACTATAGGCAATGGGAGGATTAGTACTTTTGATTTTATTGAAAGGATCTTTCTCCTCATTAGCATGGTATGTGTAGAAGCAGGGAGAGCACTGATCATCTTTTTCTTTAGTGTCTTATTGCACTTACCTTCTGGCCTAAATAATTTTCTTAGGCAAGGATGGATTGGGTAATTCCGCGAGATGTGTTTCTTTGTTAGTGAATGATTATGGTGGCTTTGGAAGGATCAAGGGCTTTTATTCTTGGGATTTGTGCGACAATGAATACTTTGTTGTTGTTTGGATGGAAAGTAATTGACGAATCTTTGAAGACAAAGTTGTGTATCAGGAATATCTACGGGATAGAGTTAGGAGTTAAGCTTCTTTATGGACATCAGTCACTGAAGAATTCGGGATATCCCTTTCTTTTTTATTCATCAAAACTTGACTACGGCGTGTGGCTAAAAGTGGCTCATGTTACTTTTACTGTACTTTTCTTGTTTTTTCTCTTGTTATTGTATTATCGGTTGGACATCTTGTCCAACACTGTATTTAGCAATCAAAGTTTGTTCCTTGTGAGGAAAAGCTTCAGTTGTACTAATTTTTTTTCTTATTTTTGTAAGGCATATGCGGTAACGGCACTTATGAAAATATACTCATTTGAAATAGCAGCAGGGAGAAAAGTAGAAATGCTACCTGAGGTAAGTAACAGTTAATTCTCTCTGTTTTCCTGTCATAGTCCCACTCTATTTCTGTACTTGAGTTGTTGGGTACATGCAGCTATGTGCTTGCATTTGAATTTTGAGTCCGGCCTTTTGTAATATGAGGTCTTGTGCGGTAGTAATTGAAGCTGTTTGGTATTGTAGGGTCAGTCCATATTTTCAGGAGATTGTATATCATTATCATATCATTTGAAAAATTCTAATTTTGCATGCACATGATTACATATACCTTCTGCGAGATTATGTATACCTTTTTTTTTTTATTAGAAACATCATTTCATTAATAAGAAGAAAACATTACAAAATATGAGCAAAGGTGTGCAAGTAGTCCAACCTGATTACATGCAAAATTAAAAAACCAAAAACATCAACCACCATTAGCAAAATCCCGCACAATACAAGCTAGCTCTTGCATGATACAATCCAACTCAACACGATACGAAAAAGGGGAATATTGCCAAACACCTTTGCCACCGAGGCCCAAAAAGAAGCTAAGGAAAAAAATCCTACCCTGTAATCCTTCCATCACCTCCTATTTATCATCAAATATTCTTGAGTTTCTTTTCAATCAAATAACCCATACTATTGCAAAAAGAGCACAATGCCAAAGAGTATCACCCCTTGAATCACCACTCAATCCTTCACACAAAACATGGATGAAATTGATTGTGGAGCCATCCATCAATGCCCAATCAACTTAAATAGTTTATTCCATGAGTATAAAGCCGTAGGAGAATAAATTGTCCACACTCTCCTAATTTACTCTACAAATAACACACCATTGTGGAAAAAAAACAATTATAGGGTCTCCTCTTTTGGAGCACAATAAAGGTGTTAATCTTACCATAAGCAATGACCCATGCACACACTTGCACTTTCGAAGGCACCTTAACTTTCCCAATCTTCGATGTTGGGAAACATTGGAATTGATGGATCATCAATTAAAAAATCGAAAAGGACTTGCATGAAAAGATATCTGAAGATTCAATGACCCAACCCCTTTTATCCAAAGAATCTTCATTAAATGAGAATGTATTGAGTAATGATAGAAGAACCAATAATTCCGAGGCTCCATATCATTAAGATCCCTACAAAACCCAAAATCCTGAAAAATTGAAGAGGGAATCCATTCTAATCAAAGAAGCAACGCTACCAATTAGTATGACCTTGTTGCCTTGAGTATATTATTCACTTAGTATTTTTGTTTCTTAATACAAAATTTCAGTCCAAATATTTATTGTTACAAATGAAACATTTCCCTATAACAAGCAATATTCCTGTGTGTTTTGTAATTAGCATCATAAGAATCTCACTCTTTTTGAAGTTCCTCTCAAGAAAGAAGAACCTCACAGACTGGCTAAATTTCTTCTTTTGCTGCAGTGCCAATCCTTGATTGAAGAAGTATCTGCATCCCACTCAACAGACCTGCAACAACGTGCTTATGAACTTCAAGCAGTCATTGGTTTGAATGCTCATGCTGTTGGGAATATAATGCCACTGGATGCAAGTTGTGAAGACATTGAGGTCATCTTTATGTCTGAATCACTCTAGTTTGTTAAAAAAATTACTTTTGGCCTAATTGCCCATTGACATTCTTCTAGCTTGGCTGAAAGGGATAAGTAATTATGCATCTCGTTTATGCTTGTGTATGTGTCACTCGGTTGGTATTTATGTTTATATGTTGTTTACTCCCATTGGCATCCTGTTTTTATATCATGGAGTTATTGCAGTATCTAGGTAGTATAGTGTAGCTGTAGTATCTTTGTAACTTATGTTTCTCACAACAATAAAAATGAAGTTCTCATCCTTGCCTCTTGCCAATCTAATGTGCCAAACATTCACTTGTTGGGTTCTGTGGTAAGTATTGAAATTGTCTGGTAGATATTGAAAGTGTCTGATAGATGCTTCACATATCCAGAGTGCCTTCCGTTAACATGGAAGTATAGTTACGTAACATTTAGGGCGATACATCTTTTGCTTGGTTCAAATTATCATTAGTCTAAGTTATAATTGGTATTGTCCACTTAAACTGGGCCAAACTCAATCCGGTGATACTTATGGTTCAAAGGTGTGGTACCGGCCATCGACTTGGAGAACTCTGAGAGACTTCGATCGCGGTATCAGCCTAAGAAAAATGTTAAACATGATGAGAGATTTAGGCCATATCGCAGTGTTGCCTAACCAAATTGGCTGGTTCGGTGACGATAACTCAGTGACTTGGGATTGATTCAGATATAACTCGGACGATTCGACCGAGTTGTGCAAGACTTGAGGTTTATATGTATCGTGTAATAGTATCGTCTTGAAAAGTGCTGAATCGGATACGACTTGACCAACTAGTATTGGTATCGGTCAATACTTTGAACCATGATATTACGATATTACTGCCAGTACTACTACTACCTTATTTTTTTGACGCAGACATTTTAGGGAACTTGGTTTCATTTTTGTGATAGGGAACAAAAACTTGTATTTATAAAACAAAGTGTACATAAAAATTGGCTGGATAAGAAATCCAACCAATAAAAAGAAAGGCATAATCAAATAAGGAAATATATAGAATAATCTATGTATCACATGAAGCTTGCCATCCTGCCAAAATTTTTAAGAGTGGGTTTCCTTTGAAATCCTTAGTATCCGAAGCCTCATATGATGCCAAGGAATGACTATAGTCCCCCATAACAGATTTTGGTTTCATGTTGGCTACAGCTGGCATCCAGTGGTGGAACTTTGCAGAGCTTTGAAAGGTGGAAGAAAGAATAAGGTTTTGGGATTGTCAAGAGTTTTGAATTGGCTTGTTTTATAAGTAATAGTTTGTTGGGACCATGGAAAATCAGTTGCCAGACTTCTAGACAACATTCTATCATTGTATTTAGGTTTCAGATTGAAGGCCAGAAAGATGAAGCAGCGGTTAGGTTTGGTTTGGGCCTTGATGGAGTGGAATTTAGGCTCAAATAGGGGTTATTTTGAGACATGTGAACAATAACATATGATCTGTAATCTCAATAGAAGATGATGAAGAAGTAGAGGTGGAAGAGAGGAAGAAAAATAACAATTATAATCTGGGAATTACATCTGGAATTCTGTAGGATCACATCAGGGATTCCATAGGAATCATCCTTATCAAAAAAGGAGATACCGTAAGGTTGCGTCACATACTATGCAGCTCCAAAAGCTTCTCTCATATCCTGAGAAATCAACCATTGAATAAAAAGATTACAGAGGCATGTGTAAGCTGCTGGAATTTTCTTATTACTAATGGGGCTGAGACTGAAAAAAAAAGAATTGACACTATGACTACTAAGAACATTCTAGACCTAACGAAGACCTCCCATGCCAATATCTTGGCCAAGGAGAACAAGCCATGGACCACAACTAAGGCCCATTTGAACAGATCTTGTAATTACAAAATTCCCTTCACTCATAGAACTTAATAAAACATAAATGAAACTCTTATGCTGCAAACTAACCTAAAAAATATGTATAAATTCGGACTTGACTAGAACTTTCATCACTTGGCATCCCAATTGGGCTCCATTTAAATTCCAAACTTAATGTTTTTCTTGTTTGCAATGCTTTGTGCCATGCCCATCATTGTACAGATAATTTTTGGGTTAAGTTCTTGTTAGAGTTGGAAAACTTTATTTTGACTGGTAGTTTCTTACCTTGATCTTCATGTTGAATTAAAATCTGAGAAATATTCAAGATTCTCTCCTTTTTATTCTTCTTCTATGTCAAACCACCGTGGATATGTATGGAATTGTCTGTTGAAATCATCGTTCCAGGAGATTAGAAAGGAACAGACAAAGACATTAAAAGCTCAATGGTGTTTAAAAGTGAATGAACTTGTGGATTTTAAGTTAGTGATCCTATTTGCTGTCTATAGGCTAGTACTAACGTGTCTCCCAATTGTAACCTCCTCAGTGTGTAGTTATGTGGCTGTCTGGCTGAAAGAAGACATTTTCCCCATCACAAGTTCCCTCTTACATTTTAATTTATTCAGTATATAAGCCTACTCCTATTACATTTTAAAGCATGTGGTACACCATATTCCATTCCCATTCCTCTTAGCTTATCCAGTGAATGCACCATTTTCCCATTCCTCTTCGGGATGTTCAGAAAATATTGTTGGTAGGGATATTCATCTTACTAAACAAGCCTACTGGAGTTCTGTCTTGCTTATACTCTTTTCCATTCATTTCAAGTCCCTATTTTTATTTTTCATTTTTTTCCAATTCTTGGTAATCAAGTTTTCTCCCTCTTTCTTTTACATTTGGTTTTCCTATTACCATCATAAACCTGGATGCATCAACAGGTTACACTTTTGTTCCTAAAGGTTGCCCTTTTGTTTGAGTATGCTGCCCTAGAGTAATTCGACTTGTTCTTTGTATCCTTTTTATTAATACTGGTGATTTTGGAAATTATAAATCAAACCTCCTGAATGTAGTGCTCAATAATCAGTTTGGTGTCGTATCGATACACTTGATTGTCTTCATATTCCACTTCGATTACATCAACATGTTCTAGTTTAGTAATGCACATGAAGCTATTACTTATGTGAAGTGTTTAGTGTTTGAGTATGTTGTGTACCACGGTCCTGTTTCCATTCTGTGTACTACTGTGGTCTCTGTTCCCTGTATCAGTGTCTGGATCCATGTTATACTTGGCAGATGAATGATTTTTCCTTTCGTTTTAGATCAAACTTCAGACATTATAAGAAGTGGAATTCATTTTTGAAATGTCGCTAGCATTAAACATCAGATTGTCTCTGTGTTGGTTATGAGGGTTTGGACTTTGAATTCAGATGATAGATTAACCAAGATGTTGAAGATCAGGGCACTTATGAAGCTGTTACAAACTGCTGTCTTCTGCAGAGCCAAGATACTTAATTACTGAGACAAGTGTATGAGGTTTAAGAATGATTCTCAGCTCAATCGTAATAAGATGTAACTTGTATCAGACTATTATTTTACATATTTTTCATTTCAAATTGATTAGGTGAGAGAAAACTGCAGACATACTACTCAATTTTCTCAGTTTTGCCCTGGTTTTACTTGGCATAAAATGCAAACAAATTAAAGGCACATATTGTACCTTCTCTGGCTTTCACTTGGCATTTGTGCCTTTTGGTTTGGTCGACAATGTGTTCGATTGTCTCTTCTTCCTTTTGATTTGCTCTTCATATTCAATAAATTTTTCTGTGCTTGAAACCTCATCAACAGTAAGCTATTTGCACATGTAATTGAGTATTGTGGACATATATATTTACGAACAAGGTGTAGCTACGACCATAGTGAATGATTATATTTGTTTAATTGTTTTCATTTTTTTTCCAGTGCTTGAAAGAGCATGAATAGCTTGAATGTATTGACGGAGAGTAAGTGAATGATGTGTAATGTAGTGAACCTAGAAAAGTGTGGGCTTTCACAAGTGCATGTCTACATACATGTGTTCCTTTTCAGCTTGTCTGACTCGCATCTTTTTGTCTACTTTATTTTCTTGTTGTGTCATGCCATTTGTTTGTAGTATACTTAGAAACATCTATTAACTCTTGTTGCAGATTGATAAGAGCCTCTCATTCCTCGACAATTACGTCCAACAGGCCTTGGAAAAGGGGGCTCAGCCCTATATTCCTGAGAGTGAGCGTTCTGGAGTTTTAAATATCAGCAACTTTAGAAGCCAAGACCAGCATGAAGCTTCAATACATGCTCTTAGGTTTGAAGCCTATGAGCTTCCAAAGCCCTCGTTGCCATCAAGGACAACTCCTGTTACACTGGCATCCTCAACTGAACTTGTTCCAGTACCTGAGCCATCTTATCCTAGGGAGGTCCACCAAGCTGCCTCTGTGCCGTCTTTGACTGATACAGGGTCATCAGACCTCAAGCTACGACTTGATGGGGTTCAAAAGAAGTGGGGCAGGTCAACGTACTCTTCTGCACCATCTACTTCAAACTCTGATTCCCATAGGACTGGGAATGGGGCGACACCTGATGTTGTGGCCAGTGTAAACTCAAAAGCACGCGAGGTTTCTTATGCTTCAAGAAGGTCGCAAGTTGAGATTTCTCCAGAAAAGCAGAAACTTGCTGCTTCACTGTTTGGAGGTACAACAAAACCGGAGAAAAAGCAATCCTCTAGTGGTCATAAGGTTTCAAAGACAAACAGTCATGCAACAGATAAGTCTCATGGAGCCAAGGGAGCAATTTCTTCTGAAACTCATGCAGTTTCGACAACTACTCTCCAGCCACCTCCAGACTTGCTTGATTTGGGTGAACCAATCATTACTAGTAATGCCCCATCTGTGGATCCGTTCAAGCAATTGGAAGGTCTTCTTGACTTAACCCAAGATACTTCAGTTGTAAATTCTGGTGCAGCTGGTGCTACTAAAGCACCTGATATAATGTCACTCTATGCAGAGATGCCTACAAGTGGGCAGAGTGATAGTGTTGCAAATCCTCTTTCATCTGATATCTATGATGCTACTCTCATTTCTGGGTTGTCAAATGCGACTAACAGAACCTCTCATGGAGGAAATACAATTATGCAACCGACTCAATTAAGTAAGGGCCCAAATCCTAAAGGATCTTTGGAAAAGGATGCGCTTGTGAGGCAGTTGGGTGTGAACCCATCAAGTCAGAATCCCAACTTGTTCAAGGATTTGCTTGGCTAAAATTAATGGAGTTGGTTATACGCTGTAAAGTTTGAATCAGGATTATAGCTGTTTGATCTAGGCACGGGGTTGTCCATGTGGTCGGTCAATCTAGGAGCATGTGTGATGAGCAAACTTAATTTACAAGCAGAATTTGCAATGTTCCCCAACTAGTGGTGTTAAAACATCCGCGTATACATTTATATTTGTTGCAGGATGGAAAAAGTTTCTGTGGCAACAGAATCAGACTTGGTGTAGGGATGCTTTTCTTGAGCATCGATGGAGCTTTTCTTTGCCAATGTTTGTGTCCTTTAGGCTTCGAAGCTCTCCAGGTACTATGTTATTGGGTGCTTTTGCCTGTTTTTCCACCATGTGGCCTTCTCATTCCCTCGTTCAAAAAATGGTGTACTGGTGAGACTTGTTTCTAGTCCGTTTCTTTTTATTTATTTGTTATTTTTTTTTTTTGAGAAAACCACTGTATCCATTTGCAGAGGAGATGTATCTTTCTCCCTGTATGAGAACCCGTTGTTTTTGATTGAATTTGAGGCAACAGGATGTATGATTGTGGTGAGAGAGAAACATTTGGAAACGATTTCAATCATTTGATATTTGATCTTAAATTGAACAGGGTAAAGAATATCTATGATGCCGAACCAAAACTAGTACAAAATAAAGGGGGGGGGGTGTTATAATTCAATTTGGTGAGATTACGCCTCAAGGGGGTTGTTTTTCATGTTTCGGATTGATGTTAATACTTTAGGGTCGATGCTAATTTTGTTTAGTTGCAATTTTACCTCAAATGAGTTATAATTAGTCTCTATTTATTTGCAACTTTTTGTTTTTGTATCGCATTTGGTATCATAGTCTCACCCTACCTACTACTACAAATAATGCTTTGGATTGGTGGCTTTGATTTGGTAAAAACAGATTGCAAAATACTTTTTCTGATATATAGCTGGAACTTGGTTTGGTTTTTGCATTGACAGTCGAAATTATGCTTAGCCTTGGTGGGTCAAGTTTAGGGCAAGTATCAAAATTTATTTGGGTGCATAGTTTCAATCAGTTCGAAACAGAAATGATTTGGAAATGAAATTGTTTTAGGAACAATATAAAAATAGAGAAAAAATTCAACATGTTGATCTCGAAACATTAAATAAAATCCTGAAACATTTATGTGATTTGAGAATTTTGTTTTTTAATATTTAATTTTTTGGGTAACGGGAGAAATTTTTGGCTTGTTTCCGACGAGTAGAGATATGCTTATGTTGTTCAAGTTCACAAGTCTTGAGTAGAATCGAGAGCAAACCTTGGGTGCATTAATCAGTCTGTTAACTCATGTACCAGTTGAATCAGGACTTGTACTTAGGTAAAGATTCGAATCTACATTAGAGATTTGAATACGGTTTGTCCAAACAATTGAAGTTCATCGAAACTTTGACTTCAAGAAGACAAAATTTTCACAAAACATGGAGTAATATTGAACCAAAGATCCGCATATTTTTTAACATTTACTTTGTTTTAGTTTTTATTAAAGTCAGATATTCTAGCCATTTTATTGGGAAAAAAGAAAATGAATTGTTAATTTTTAAAAGTGTATTCGTTTTATACTTTCACAAGTATTGAGGGGACGTGTGGCAGTGAAAATAAGTTTAGACCTCTAAACTATATAATTTTAATAATTTTTCAACCCCCTCCTTTTTCGTGTATGACATCCCTACTTCATTTGCAGCATCCACTAATTTGGAACACAATGTTTCCGTAGCATTCTTGAGTATGCAACTCGCATTGTCCACTTCAGTCACGTTTTTTCTTTCCCGGTACATTGGAAAGGTTTAAAAAATTAACTAAACTTCGCAGTGACCAAATATTCATACTTGTCAATGCATGCTTTGGAAAAATTGGCACTATTATATAAAAAAGTGATTTTTAGCTCAATTGAAGTTCATTTTTTTGATCTAAAGATTTTGTACGTAACTGACATTGTCCACTTCAATTTAATAGTCACGTTTTGACATTAACCTTGTAGTGACCAAATACTCGTATTTGTCAATGCATGCTCTGGAAAAATTGGCACTATTATATATAAAAGTGACTCTTAGCTCAGTTGAAGCTCGTTGAAACTTAAGATTTTGTACGTAATTGGAATTGTCCACTTTTAGTTTGATGGTCACGTTTTGACATTAACCTCGTAGTGACTAAATACTCGTATTTGTCAATGCATGCTTTGAAAAAATTGGCACTGTTATATACAAAAGTGACTTTTAACTCAATTGAAGCTCATTGAAATACAAGATTTTATACGGAGTGACATTGTCCACTTTAGTTTGACAGTCACGTTTTGACATTAACTTCGTAGTGACCAAATACTCATTTGTCAATGCATGTTTTGAAAAAATTGACACTATTATATACAAAAGTGACTTTTAGCTTAGTTGAAACTCGTTGAAACTCAAGATTTTTTCATATTTTCCAAACTAACGTTTCATGAACTAAGGTAAGGTCCTTACTGCTGCCGGTATTATGAAAAGTGAAAATGAAACGAAACGAAACGAGAAAAAATGGAGTTGTAAATTTCATTTAATTCGCATTTTTGTTGTCTACTCCTTGTGGATTTATACCTGAAAGAAACTATAATCTATGCAGAATCAAAACCAACATGCCTAGTCCCATCCAGGGGTGGCTCAAATAATTTGGGGCCTAAAGAGATACTTCTAAATGAGGTCTTATATATTTAGTATTAATATTTTTTATTTAAAATGATTTTTTCTTCCTATTTGAGTTGCAAAAATTTTAATTAAGTTTTTATATTCAATTTTTTCTATCATTTCATTTTCAATTGATAGGATTATTAATCCAGTTAATCTTTCTTGTGACATAGTCAATCTTAAGTAAGATTTTATAAATTTTAATTTGGAAAAACTTCTTTCTGCAGAAGCAACTGTTACAAGAATTGTTAATAATATTTTATAATCAATGCATGCATTTGGAAAATAATCTAACCTTTTTTATGTAATTTAGTATCTTAATTGAAGTATTTTATTTTGTTTGTAAATTTTTTTTTAAAACATTTACTTCTAAAAATAAATCTAAGCCATTAATATCGGAAAAATTTTCATATTTTAAGAAACATTCGAGTTCCAAACAATATTGTTTTAAACTATCATTGCTCAATGCTTTTAATTTTTCTAAGTTAAATACAAAACCAAAAATATTTTCGTACTTTTGTAATTGTTCAAATCTACTCTTTAGTGAAGAAATAGCTTGATCAATTATATATATAAAATAATTAATTCTAAAAGATTCTTCAATATATTGTGTTACCTCATCACCAACATTTTCATCCAATTATTTTTTTTACGACCTATATGTTTTTCACGAAATATAGGTTCTATACCTATTTCACATGCAATATCTTTAGATGAAATCATAGCATTTGTAAATCCACTTTTCCTATATTTTTCAAAAAAATAAATGGAACCTTTTAATTGATTTATAGCAATATTAATATGCATGTCTTTTGATTGTAAATATTTACTAACTAAGTTCACGGAAAATAAAATATCATACCTAATAGTCATGTCCAATAAGAACTCAAAATTCTCAATCTCATATGTTGCTAAACAATTAACTTCACTTTTTATTTTAGGATTTTTACTAGTTTTTGCTAATTGCAATAATGCATCTCTTATTCTTGGAGTTTGAAATCTTATTCCTTTAACACTTTTAACATGACTTTCTCAACATGTTTGTGACAATGACTTAAGAGTTAAACCTTGAACATTATCTTGTAAAATTTTTCATTGTTTTGTGGAAGAGGAAAATAATGAATATATACGTTGTACTATTCCAAAAAATGATATAGCCTTGGGATAAGAGTTAGCCATATCACAAAATACTAGATTTAATTTATGACAACCACATGGTGTGTAAAATACTCTAGAATTTATATTGAGTAACCTTTTTTGTATACCTTGATGTTTTCTTTTCATATTAGATCCATTATCATATATTTGTCCTCGTACATCATTAATATCTTGTTCAAAATTACTTAGCACATCTATAAGTTTATCAAATAAACCTTTTTCACTCGTATCATCCATTTTAATAAACTCTAAAAAATATTCTTCTATTTTGATTGGACTTATTGTAATATCTACGCATTGTAATATGAGAGACATTTATTCTTGATGACTTGCATCGGGAGTCCAATCAAGTATGATTGAATAATATTTTACTTCTTTAACTTTTTTAATAATATTACTTCTTACTTTATTTCCTAACAAATTTATCAATTCATTTTGTATGTTATGCCCAAGATAATGGTTATGAATTCTATCTTGTTGAATATGACGAATGTATTCTTGCATTATTGGATCAAATTCCGCAATCATTTCAATTAAACTTAAAAAATTTTCATTATTTTCTTGATATATCTTTTCATTTTTTCCTGAAAAGCTAAATTATTTTTACCGAGATTCTTTACAACGACAATAATTTTTACTAATACATTTTGCCAATATTCTTTCTCTCTATTAATTTGTTCTTGGATATTTTTATCAATTGTTTTATTTAGTTGCAATCTTATTTCTAATTCAATCCAAGTAATCATATTAGTTTTATGCTCATTAGTTATTTCATGATTTTTAAGCTTAACATCAATATTTCTCCAATCTTTTGTTCTTTCATCAGCTAGTTTACTTGTACAATGATTCATATTGAATAACTTGCAACAAAAACAAAATATTTTATCCAAATCTTTTGAATATATTAGCCATATTTTATCAAGTGTTTCCCCATTTGTAAATTTGCAAATATAATGTGTAGTAAAAAAATATCTAGAGAGTTCATCCCGAGAAAAAATTAAATTATTATATCTAATTGGACTATTCTCTACTAATAAATATCTTAATTTTATATCAATATTTTTTCATTAACTTGGATCATAAATATTTATATGACTATAATCACTTGTTTCATTAAAATTTTGATTGTCTTATATTTCATTATATTTTATTTCACTA